TCAGCGGGATTTGAACTTCGTGCGGTAATTGCGCCGCGCCGTGAAACAGGTCCAACCGGATCCCAGCTGGGATCATAAAGTCGGTCCCGAGTACCACGTCGACGCCCGCACTATGCGCCATTACCCACATCTCAAACTCGTACACCATCTTCCATCCGAGCGTAATTTTGACGCACGCTCGCCGCGTCGTAGATACCTTGCCTTCGTTAATACCTTGAATGTCAATGCGGCGTCCGTGATCGGGTACATCTCGGAGTCGCAACTTCTTAGCAAAGGCGTCAGTGATCACACTAACGTTCGCTCCTGTGTCGAGGAGAATCCTCGTTCGCTGGTCGTTCACAGCGCCTTGCACCAGAGCTCTCATTCTGATCCGTCGGTCGAATTTCTTGGCCGACCACCACCCCTGTCTCTCGCCAGGGTTCAACTTCATCATCTTGGAGTGACCCGTGGGCTCGTCTCGCGCTGCACTCGAAACCAAGCCGAGCGAACCCTCGCTGGTGCCCTCATCAGCATCAGCACACTCCACTATTTCTCCAACACCTCCACCGAGGATTCTACTCCTCTCCTTTTCATTTTCCGTCGCGTTCACACTTGTTACGTATTTATCAGGCCATTCACTCTGCCCCATGAAAGCAAAGATACACTCTGCTTCCATTGAAGGCTCGGTTAACTGTGGCAGCCCGATAGGGACCAACCCAGTTGTAGTTGGCGGGCTGCCTAGTTTAAATGACGTTCTTGAACGACGGCCTTGAGCTCTGGCGGGAGTTCCTCCTTCGTGCCTTTAGTGCGCACGAATTTGGCAAGGTCTTGGAAGTTGCGGAAAAGTTCGCATTGTCCAGCATCGTGGAGTTGTTTGCCGAACTTGCATCGCTTGTTACAGTAGTGGGCGGAGTGACTCATGCCACCGCACACCGCGCATGGTCCGTACTGTGGGCGTCGGTTGTCGCGGTTGAAGTCACGTCGACCGCGATGGTCCTGATTGAACCCACGGTCACTACTTCGGCGATCTTGATTGAAGCCATTCTCGCGATCAGGCGTGTTTCCACGCGGTTGACGGTTGTCCGAACGTGCGTAGGTGCCTTCAGCAGCTGCACGGCGCTCGTTTTCAATAGCAGCAGCGAGGTATCGGTCGTTTTCATCCAATGAGAAATCGCCATCCGTATTATCGGGCTGAAAGTCGTTGTACTCATCTTGGACATCGTCGTAAGCGTTCGGATCTTCGTTTGAATACTCGGTGCCTCCCTGAGCAGCTTCACGACCTTCTAATTCAGCTAGTAGGTCGTTCACCGTAGCTTCAATGAGTGTCACTCTTGGTTTGTTGCGGCTGTCATCGCGGCGACGGTCATCACGCCGGTTGTTGCGGGCGTACCCATCGTCGCGTCGCGTATCACGACTCTTAGAGTATCGGTACTCACTGTCACGCTTGGCCATTCTCTCCTTGCCCTTGAGAACATCTTCGATGATCTCTTCGAGCTCGTGAATGTCGGCGACTCGAGCGTGGTAGAGACTCTCCGCTAGCTTGTCATCGTCGCATGTTGCCAGGAATTGCTGTACGTGTTCTTTCGCGTCGCGACCACTCTTCTCAAAGTGTAGACGGGCGGTCCGAGCGTAGCCGTTCAGCCTGCTTATGTAGTCGCACAGATGTTCATTACGTTCCCGCTTGACGGAGTAGTAACGCGACAGTGCCGTCTGCGTGAACTGCGAGCAGTAGTAGCGGATGAACGCATCGCTCAACAGCTTCCACTTGCGCGTCGTCTTCTTCGGAAGTTGACGGAACCAATGAATGGCTTCGTCCCGGAGACTTAGCTCAAATGGAATGCACCATTTATCGGCATCTGTGTGGGTTCCAGTCATTTCATAGACGAACCCACGGAGCCACTGCATACAGTTCTCGCTCTTGTTGCGAGAGCCTGAGAACGGCGTGATGCGATCCAGCGGTCGGTGCGAAGCCATTTCAATCCTCGGTGTTGGGTCCACGTCGTTCAGCGTCGCTAGCTCATTCATCTGACGCATCAACTCGAGTTGAGGATCTTCCTCGTCGAATGTACGCACCAAAATGTCATCGTCACTGGACGAACCATCGCTGTCGACTTGACGACGTCCGGCACCACCTTTGGGGGCTCGCGCACCGCCTCGGCGACCGAACAAACTCTCGTTACTTGCGTAAATGCGTTGCATACGGCTCTCCGAACGTGGCGTAACCATGTGCGAGTCTTGAAAGTATGGTAAGGCTTCGGTAGTGCCAAAGGCACCACGCTTAGCTCCACGCTTGTTCGGAGGAGTACGAACGAGTCGTTGGGGCGTCGGCGGCAGTGGAATCTTAGACGGATCTTCATCTTGAATCATCGGTCGACTCACCGGCTGCTTTCCAGCGTTAATGCCAACAGCGCCAAACGCCTTCCGAAGATTCTTCTTCCATTTCTGGAGAGCAGCTCCGGCTTCATGTGGACTCCAATCTTGGAGCGACATCGTTGATGGGTACGTCTCGTTCTCGAAGCCCAGCGACAACAGTAGCGAAACTGAATCTTCGGCAGCTTGGCTAGTCGAAACCGATTTGACTGGGTATTGAAGTTCCTGCGCAAGCGCAGGCCAGTCGGCTTTTTCTTGGGGATGGGCTTGAACAGCTGAATCCACTCATCGTTCTGCATCAGTGCTTGTACGCGGTCGAAAACGCGCTTGGCGGCTGGTGTATCACCGTTGATAGGTGGGCGAGGTGCCTTCAGCAGGGCTGAATGTTTGCACTCGCCACCGAAGGTTTAGAACCCTTGGTCCCATCGTCATAATCTTCGTAGGCGGGGTCCGGTCCCGCAACATCATCGAGCTCGTCGGCGAGGTTCCTCGAAAGGGACCTGGTCGCCCCGCTCAGCCCCGATGATAGCGTGGCCGTCTCCGGCGTCGCTGCGCCTGGCTCTGGGGCCGGCGTCTTGTCTTCGTAATCTTCATAATCGTGGACGTCAGGACCGATGTCCGCTTCGTCGTCGAAGCTCACTGAAAGCTCGGTGGCGGATGCAAAGCGCGCTGCCGGGCTTGAACTCTCGTTGCGAGCCCCGCCAGACTTGGCAGGCGTAACTGGTACCGTCGATTGTCCTTTCGCCATGTTTCTTGTCTTTTTCTTGGTCTTTTTCTCTTGGTAGCTCGTAAACTGGAAGGCCATACAAACAGCTCACAATGGTAACAATCTGTTCCCGGGTCGCGGCACCAGGGGTTGTGGTGTTGGAAATCCCACGTGAACTCTAGCTACAAATGTAGTTAAGGATGATCCCACAACAATACGTCTACTAGGATAGTAAACGATCGTTCGGTCGGACCTGAAGACCCCAGTTCTGCCCTTGCACCGGGACAAACTGGACGTTGTAAACTACTTATATAGGCCAAACCAGTAAAAATTAGAACACGCTACTAGCACGAGCAAAGCTAGCAGGTGTTTTGAATCCTCGTGGTCCCAACAGCGGAAGGGTACCAGGCACGGGTAAGCCTTTTACGAGATCACCGAGTGTTCAACACTCGGTAGGAAGAATAAAAGAGATGCAATACAAGCAATCCCAGTCGTGCTAATAGGCAACAATAAGCCGTCACGTAACCCCCCCCCGATAATAATCGGCCAATACACAAAGTCTCTTGGCCTTGCCGGATGAACCCTCGCTACAGAGCTTCGAGTTCACCGACAGGCATAACACACTCAAACAAGCTTGACCTGACGCTTACCTTGAAGCCGGACGTCGCTCTGTGTGCTTGAGTGGAAATTCTGTTCTGTATTTAAGCTTACCCTTTCGGGCCTATTCCTAATAAGAAGTCCTAATCAAGTATACAAATATCAAGTGAACAATGATCCGTTATGGATCTTCTTGCATGCCAAGCGTCGTCTGCGCTGTCGCATGAGCATCTTTAACGGTCCGCGCCCTGTCCCAGACGGTGAACGTGTCTTCCAAAGGTCGCTGAGTATTCCGCGAACTCATCCCAACCGCCGCTGAGGGTTCGTACCGTAGATGGTCCGCTGAATGCGAATCCGGCCAGTCCATTATTAATAATAAGGACAGCCTGGATTCAGTGACATAGGGCCGTATCCAATACTTGTTGAAAACTCGGAGGTGACGCCGTCGAGTCCCTTGCACCTTGGCGTCTCCGTACATCACCCGACCGAGGGTTCGTCGCTTGAACAACTTGGGCGGTGTCACGTCTTTGTCGACGGGTGATAATCCGCAACCACGGAGAAATCACTACACCACAGCTACCAGGTGTAACGGGGTATGAGATACCGTTACTAGCTTACACTATAGTGCGGAGGAAGCTCGCAATAATAAAACCAAGTCTTAGGTTTGTGTCAAATTCAACTCTGATTTATTTAGGACCAGGGCGGCTACCCCTGGCCTCGTGTGAACCACTCAAACACATGTCTTTATCTGATTGGTCAATAAGTGAGTCTGGATCCTCACTATCAACCAATCAGATGATGACACCTTGGCACACGCTACCCGTGTGCCACTTTACCTACTTATGTAATAACTTAAGAAATATCTACCTACTTATGTAATTGGAGTTGGGCCCATTACAGCTAGAGGAAGTTGGCTTCCGAGAGTATACAAACTCTCAGTGAACGGCCTTTTACCTAAAGGGAGCGGGGTGACCAATTTAAGGTAGGTTGTAAACTGAGTATATTTATATGTAGGCTAAGCTTGAGTTAAATATACATACTATAAGTCACCTATGGAAAAGAAATGTCATCAGCCATCGGACGACCTTGGTACATTGTACCAAATATCCCGAAGTATGACGTGTCACACTTCATGTAGCTAGGAGTACCCTTAGGGCTACGTACCCCGTTACAGACTCTGTCTTGATCTAAACAGGTTATATTCGGGTGAAGCCGAATTTGACACAACCCGTTACATTCTGTTCTGACGGCCATGCCTTGTGGAAACCCTTCGAATTTATCATATATATCGATGGATAGAGGTTTTTTGACGCGACATTTCATTTGTTCTATTATCGATCTTCTTTTTATGCGCATTGGAAAAGACGCGCTCACGTGGGTAACGAATAAATGGGTATATGTCTACGTAGCTGCATCTAATCGATAACTCTACTGTTCACTTCCGTTTGTGCTTAGAGCTTCGTGAAGCTGTTCGGTCTGCATGTGCGCTGCGACCTGCACGAGTTTGAGAAGTTTCCTGCCAGCCACGCTTGGCGTTGGAAGACAGCGGGACTCTGGCGGACACGTCTGCTTACCAAGGCTCAGTGCTGTGGAGTGATTGTGTCCATCATGGAACGCTCGGATCGAGGTGGCATATGTATATTTCAAGTCTTGGTCATGCATGGGCTCGCTGATGTCTCAATGCACGACAGTGGAGCTTCTGGTAGACGACGGTACGGAGCTCGTCAAGGCGGTATTGTGGAGAGAGGGTGCCCAGGCTCAAGTGACTCTGGGAGATCTCGTCCACGTGGAGGGAAAACTTAATGTGGACAAGAGCTGGGACGCAGTTGAGCAGTCAGTGGCAAGGAATGCAGAGTGTTGCTGACTCACGAGATGGGGACTCACGCGTTGCGTTCCGTCTGTATAGGTCCCGAGAGCTCAGGATCCTTCGGATTTCAAAGGTAGAAGATCCGAACGAAGAATTTCTCCATTGGACTCAAGTGGTGGAGCTAGAACAGGCCTGTTATTCTGCTGGAGAAAAGTCTTTTAGTGCATCCGCTGGGGCCGGCAGCGACGCCCAAGGTGGAACTCACTGGGAGAACATTGCCAGGGAGGCGTTTTTCCGTCTTACCATTGACCCCAGTAGAAAGCAGGAGTTCCTAGGTCGACGCGACCGTGACCGTCACGGTGACATGCTCCTGGAAACCCTAGAGTCTATCCTTAACAAGCAAAAGACAAGTAGCACCACAGAAGCGGCTGATGTCGTTTTCAGCGACCTCATGGCTAGAGAGGATTACGATGCTGTCGTGAGTTGATTTTTCATAGTGTAGAGCGACGTCTGGCTGATACAATTTATTTAATGATGTATCGTTTGCATGGCAGACGAACGGCAATAACGGAGCAGTCAACAAGAAGCTCAGGATTCGCGCATTGCAGTATGTTTTCAGGATGCTACGTCGAGCAGGGCTACTGTTCTTGGAAGACGACCAAGCTGATCGTCATATTTTGCTGAGTTTTGAGGCTGTTTTGAAGCCGGCGCTTCTGCAGTTTCTTCGAGGTGAGGCTCCGATACTTGTGAGCGGATGTTGCTGTAATCCTTTCGTCTGACCGTTTATCCTCTCCCTAGACCACCCGGGGGGCCTTTCTGTTCCAGAAATCGCAGATGCAATAATGATCCAGGAGCGATTCAAGTGTATTCCACTGCAATGGATTGAGACCAGCCTCGGACATCTTTTCACGTCTCAGTTAGTGGTCCAAAGGGACGAGCCACACCTGTTCTTTCTCAAATAATGGAGACACACACAAACTGCCTAGCTATCTTAAAACTGCCGAGCTCATAGCGTTCTTGCCTCCAGATAGTACACCCATGGCGAGAATTCCTTGAACTGCGGGCAAGACACAAGGAGTTTGCCAGTCTCGCTTGCAGTCGTCTTTTCACTTGTTCCTGATGACAGAGTAGCGTCGACCTTGACTGTGATGATTTTAGACGCTTTAGCTGGGATCGATAAGGATGTCGTTGACAGTACAAAGCGTGGGTTGTCGACCATAATCTCGAATTCTTTCGGCGTCGAGAAAACGTTCTTAAACTCAATGTCTTGTGTTGTCAAGAACACGTACGGGCCTTGAGGCAGTGGGGGCACTGATAGCCCTTGCAACGTGCACTTGTACTCGCCAATAGTATTGGAAAAGAGCGTAAGAGTATCACGGAACTCACCAATAGCTTCAGGCTCAAACTTGACAAGGATGGATTCAGCTTTCCCTTCCCAGGAGAAGGGCCCTTCCACTTTCCACGTTACTGGCACAGAAAACGAAGTTGGGTCCTGGACGGAGCATGAAAGCTCTGCTGTAGCAACGGCATAGCTGGTGAAGGGAAATGCCTGAGTTTGAGATCCACCCAGAGGAGCCTTGAAGTACAAAATGCGTTCGGGACCGACTGGCAGAGTACGCAATACCAGATTGTACGTATACTCACCGAGTTCCACAAAGCTGATGGTTAAACGGTCCTCAGTCGGTGTCTCCGAGTGAAGCGTTGGCCGGTATTCAACCTCGTAGTGGCCTTCGGCGCGTCCACTGATCTCACTGAGTTGTCGTACACGAATAAAAGGACTGGAACATTTCCACCAGTGAGCTTTATCCACAAAATTGATCGGGCGTTGGATGTCAAAAGGATTCTCAATGGCCACCATCTTCTTGACCGATTGCCTCACTGGTGTCTCGAAGAAAAGCGTGTCCACATCAACAGCCTTAGAAACGGTGACGTTCACGTCTTGTACGACGTATTCACCACTCTTTTGATTCACCATGCGTACACTCAAGTTAACGGTTCCTTCAATGTAGCAGAAGAACTTCATGTTGTAGTTGCGCGTCACTCCAGCGTGTAGTAGGATTGACGATGGCCCTTGAATAACGACAGACTCATTTCCTGGTGGTTTTTGAGTCTCGACAGCAAATGTTTGCGGTGTCTTCAGCCAGTTCTTGATCGGAATCGAAATTGACACATTCTTCTTTGCTGCAGTGGACAGGAAGGTTGGTGCTATGGGCAACGGTGCTGACGCTTTGCCGAATAGATTGTACAAGAGCGCACTTCCATCGGGTATAGCGAGAAAAATCGAGCCAGTGTGGACTGTTGGGCGTTGTTCATCGATTTCTTCATGGGAGTTTTGTTTTGTCATAGCCAAAGGAGAGTATAGCACGTCAAGGTTGGCTGTCCCGTGTGCAGAGACTAGAATATTCTCTAGGCACGACCAGTGATCACCTTGAACCACTGGGAACAAGTTCCAGGGAGACGAAGTCGTGTTCTCGAGTACTATGACCTTGCGGCTCTCCTGTCGAACTGGAGAACTGAAGTGAACGTCTTGAATCGATGACGTTGCTTGAGGAACACATGAGCCCACCAATGTCAGCGTGGCGGGAGTAGTTCCCTCGACCATGCACGTGACTCTCTCATAACGAATGTCAGGGTCCACAGCGGCTGGTTTGAAGGTCACCTCAATGATCTTGTGCTGGTTGGGGGCTACATTCCCTTGGGATGGAGACACTGAAAATTCGGGGGCAAACTCGCGTACGTTCCACTGGAATTTAGCGGCGACATCCCCTCGGTTTTGCAAACGTACTTTTCTCACAAGTTGACTGCCTAGACAAACTGGTCCGTACGAAAGAGTGTCAGTCTCCAGTATCACATCAATACCTTGGCAGCATCCGGACAGCGTGAGTAGTTTCTTCGTGCTCCCTCCCATTCGTATGAAAACATCTTTCTGAAAGCTCGGAATTCGCCGTGTCGGGGCAAAGAGGAACTCAATGTCGGCCGTTTCTTTTGCTCGGAGTGAGATCTCTTGTTGAGGGAACACTGAGATACCCAACGCATCGAGCAATGGGACTCCTGGTTGAGCCAAATCCACACATTCTATCACAGTTTTTCGCTTGGAGCGGTTTGCGACCTTGACGGTCCGAGACATTTGCTGTCCGATCTGTAAGTTCCCCAGAAAAACCATCTGCATTGACGAATTGACGAGCTCAATTTTGGGGAACACGCCTTCTCCACGGATGCTAACATTAACTGTAGATGACCCATTGATCGTAAATGGAATCACCTCCAGATACGGAACTTCATGTCGTGCTATAAACATTATGGGAATGCTGACTGTCTCGCGTGGGCCCACCATGGTTGGAGGACAATCCACGCGAAGATGAGGTTTCTTTTCGAACAAACAATCAAGATCGATTGCGCTCTCGGGGTCCATATTAAACACGGTGAGCGTTTTCATCTCCGCCACTGGAACTGCATCATTTTCTGCGATGAAACAGGGACCAAAGTCGTGAGAGGTGAACGACAAGTGCAACATCGGAGGAACAGCATTCCCGTGCAGTGCTAGCACGTAGTTTTGAGAGCCAGCAATAGTACAGGTCACCTGCATCCCGTCGAGAGATGTTTGCTTTGTCGGAGAAAACCTCAGTGCGCATGTGGTCTTGTCATTCTTCTTGATCGTTCCCTGCATTGGTTCAATGATGAAAGCTTCAGTTGCTTTTGTCACAGTCCAGTTGAAATCGAAGTTAAACTTTCCATTATTATGGATCACAATGAAACGCTGGGCTTCCTCGTTGACGCGCACAGCTCCAAAGTCCAACAAATTACCGAGGCCTGAAACTAATGCCCGGCTTTCGCTTTGATCTTCAGATGTCAAGATGAGTGCACCGTGAATACTATAGCCCTCCCCTTTGACATTCAGAGATAGTCGCGTGGGTTTGCGCTTGATGATACAGTTCAGATTAAAATTGTACGACTTTTCTTCAATCGGCATGAACTCAACCTCGATCGAAGTTCGACTATTGGGTGGAATCACGCCACTCAGAGGGTGAACAATCAGTGCAGGTAACTCTCCTGCAAAGTCCAGCAACGTCTTGTCCAATACAAAATTGAATGGAATAAGCTCCTGATTGATCAACGAAATGCTTTGAGATGTCTTTGTTCCGATCATCAGTGTGTTAAAGTTGACACTTGCACGATCCAACGCGACTCGAGGCTCCGTCGTCGTACCCACAAACACGAAAAGCTGACTAACCTGGAAATGCGGAATTTTGAAGTACCAGAACATTTCCTGGAGTTCTAGTTGCTGTGGAGTGAATTCAAAAATCATCTCACATCGTTTACCAGCAAGCATCAGACCCTTCGGTGTCGCGCACCGAAAGCACGGGTTGTTGTTCCCTTGCGGGATCCACGAAAACTCATACGACACGTTCGTTGGGTTAACCACGTAAAACCGCCGTGTGTTGCGGACTCGAACGCCAAGAGACGCCATTTCGATGATTCTGATCGAAGGATCTAACGGCCCCAGCTCACCATGAGGGCCTGGGAGGTTCGGAGCTCTCCATTGCGCATAGTCACTCCTTTCTACATCGAAATGGCAAGCAGGTCGGAGAGACTCACCACGAACTTCCACTCGAAGCACCGTAACTTTATCCTTTTGAGTGTCTGGAATGTCGAAGCACAAGCAGTACAAATAACCATCCACTTCCATTGGGGCAAACTTAATAGTAAACGTTTGAGTTTCTTCCCCGTTGATTGTCCCAGTAGCAGGTGTCACGTCAAAAGGGCAATTATCGTCCACATCACCATCAATACCCCCCAAGTCAGACTGACCATGAAGTCCTTCCTCCCATCTGCACGAGTATGCCAAACGGATTTTGCTCTTGTTTTGCAGCGTGATTTTGTGCGTACACACTTGTAGCATGAAGGTTCTGCGAAATGTGATAGACGTTTTATCACACTCGAAAGATAGGGTATCAGCTGCAGCAAAACAACTTAATACGATGGTCGAGGGAGGCCCAATTGCTTCAAATTCAGGCTCCACAAGTGTTTGCTTTGCAACACCTCCAGCTCCTGCTTGTCCGCCAAATGAAACCGTCTGAAAAGAGTCATCCCAGACATTTATGTCACTCCGATTGACTGAGCTGCTTTTATACGAGATTCGCTGAGACTGCAAAGCGATGCGATGAGCCTGATATATGGCCGTTTTATCTCCATCCTGTGCCGGTTCAAATGTGGATCTAATCAGCTTGTAAGCATTTGGCATGAGATGACCGACACACGGGGAGAAGTGGAATGGATCAGCTTTTGGCCACTCGAAACGCATGATATCAGATGATTGATTGCGTAGCGAGAACACCTTCGTGCTCTTAAAAATTAGAAACCCATCGTTCTTCGTCTCACTCACGTCTGGTAACCGAATATCATCAAAGTGAAGTTCATCATCGTACCCACAAGGCAAGTCTTCAAATACCAAATCTTCTTGATATCCGCATCCAAAGAGCGTGACCGCCGTCTCTTCAAAAGGATTATTCTGCACTGCAATTTTGAGTTGTGATGTGACTGGCTCGTCATGAACCTTCTGGGGTCGGAACTGCAAGGTCAGCGTCTCAGTAGCTTTTGGGGCCACCATTACCGATCCATTGCCCATTGCGAACAGGAAATTAGGGTTCGATTGACTAGAAAATAATACGGTTGCTGGTAGAATCCCATCGTTGCGTAGTGCTAAACGCATATCCTTGGTTTTTGAAGTCCGAACTCGACCAAAATCTAACATCATGGTACCACTTGAGTCTCGAGCTGTCGGCTCCGTAATTAAAACACAGGGCATTGTTCCTTCCCCTCGCATCTCGAACTCGAGAAGTTTATCCGCCACATTGCTTTGAGGAGGACTATCATCAACCACCGCATTAAAAGTGGCCCGGAACAAGGCAATGGTCGCTGGGCGGAAGTAAACGCTTACGAAACGATGCTCAAGGGGAGGAATCTCCCATACAGCTGGCTGTACAATGAACGCTGGAGAGCCATTTTCGGACTCGGTACTTCCAGTGCTACCGTTTGTTATAGAAAACTGCACCGTGCTGCTCACTTTCATCGGATTCGAGATCTTGAAGCGCTCCACCGTTCCTTTCCAATTTGCCGCTGCAATCAACGGACCAAACGAGAAAATCTTTTCCTTTTCTGCGAATGTGACCGCTTGGGCATTCCCATGATAAGACGAACTGCGAAGTGATGACATTGGCGTAACCGACTCGACTCCTAATGAGCAAATTACCGTTTGTTCCTCGAAGATACTCTCGTAATCCGTCGTGTTAATGCCTGGGTAGCAACTTTCACCGATTAGTTCGTACAGCAGCATGTCCGTCTCAGTCGCATCCTCCGTATTGCGACCAGAAATCTCAATCTGAAGTGTCTCGCTGTACACAGCGCACTCCTTCGGCTGGAATGCGACATCCAATCGCATCGTAGCTCCAGGGTCGATAGTGCCGCAATCTGGGGAAAGCGCAAAGTGGCCTATGGAGAATGTGGCTGGAGACAGTGGTGTATCTAACGTCAAAGGCTCCGTTTCCTCTCTTTCAGTCACCGGTCTAGAAGCTTGGACGCGGAATTTAAACTGGAATTCGCCATCGTTTCGTATTTCAATCCTCTTGGTTTGTGCTTGTTCACTGTACTTGTGAGGACCAAAGTTAATTCCATGGTTTGGCCGGAGTCGAAACTTACTGAGGACCGATCGGGCACTAGCGTGGACGTAGAACTCACGACACGCCTCCCCTGACAGCATTTCAATAATAGTGCACTTGATATCCTTACAGTCACGGAGCGTGACTTCGCTCTTGGATGCAAACGTGACATTCACTGATGAAGACTGCCCAGGCTCCAGCACCATTTCGCTTGGCTCGATCGTGAAGTACTCACGAGTGACTGCATTTCTAATGCCGATGATATACTTGATGCTGTATTTGCCTCTATTGCGAATGTTGAATACTCTAAAGTGCTTCTCTCCAACTCGAACCAGACCAAAGTCCAGAATCCCGTCACCGCTCACCGTGTTTCCTGCAGCTCTAGATGTTGCTTGGCCAGGATCTTCTCTAGTTTCATTGTCAAAAGAACTCACATCGATCTTGTAAGCTTCTCCTCGCAATGTTAACTCAACCGTCCGATTCCGGTCATTCATTTGAAGAGCGCTCTCAGCATCCGAGAATTCAATTCGCAGCAGAAGCTCGTGAACAGCTTCTGTCATTGCCGAGAACACAACCACTACTGGGATTTTCTCCAGAGGTTTCACAGTTCCTTCGACTGGGAAAATCCGAAAATCTTCTGGTAAGTTATCGCATAGTAAACGCCACAAGACCGCAACAGGCGCCACATTCTCGATGTAAAATACCTTTTCCTCTTGTCGCTTCAGCAAGAGCTGCTCGAAATCCAAAACTGGTTGTTTGTGTAAGTGGGATGGAACAGAAGGTTGTTCCACTAGAGATGCACTAGGTCTAGAAGTGGCAGGGGCACTGCCAGGGTTATCGGACCTAGAAGACCTGGGAGTCTTACTGGTTGTTGCGTCGTCAGCCTGTCGATGGTCCTCCCGCTCTGATGTACTCGCCGCAGCTGGTTGTTCCCATGGTCCTCGCAGCTTCAACTCTGGTTTACATCCGTAGCAACTGATCTGGAATTTCACAGGCTCCGGGTTGTCGCCAATACAGCAAATTAAGGCGTTCTCATGAAGCCCAACCTCCAACGGGTTTGCCCACACTTTGACTTCTCTCGTGTCGCCCTCATTGATCTCAACTGCAGCAGGGAACACAACAAATGTATCATCTCCTTGCTTTTCCATCCCAAACTCCAGTTGAATCGGAAACTTGCTGCTATTGGACATCCGGAACACTTCGACATTGTTTGGACTCGTTTTCTGCCACTCGATGAACTCTCGCTCGGTCTGCGGTGCTTTCGCTTGCTGGTTAGTGATAATAAGCGGACCGAACTCGAACTGGTTCCTTGAGATCACAAATTTCTTCTGAACAAATGCACCTTCTGGGCGGCTTTTGACGCGGTGCATGAACACATTCCTCGGGTCATTGTTTATGGTCGGCACACCACAGACTCCACGACCAAACAAAGTAAATTCACGCTGGACACCTACAATTTCAAAGCCCAAAGTGCAGTCGAAGTTGCCAATATCAGGTGAAGTGAACTGAACCAGCACATTAACTCTCGAGTGAGGAGCAATTACCCAGCGGCAAGCGGGAGGGCAAACTCGCGTCTTAGGACGTTGCAGTCCAGTGCTCAAGGCTTCAGAGGATTGGTGGGTATCCATGCTATCAGTTGGTCTCTCCGAGTGTTCTCCAACCTCTATGACCTGTACGTGACTCGGCGTTTTACCAGCAGTTTGAGGACGCGAAGAGTGTTTGCTTGGTATTTGAGAGCGCGATCCACTGGTATGGAGGCTCTTCTCACTGCTGCTGGCTTCATGTGCACCTGAAGATTGCATTGCTGGCGACCGCAATGAAAAACGAGCGACTCTTTTTCGAGGAAACCTCTCTAGAGGCCTCCGAACAAGTTGAAACTTGGCAGGAGAGGGGATTGGTTTGTGGCTGGTTTCCAACTCGCGGACAAACTTTTCAACAGCTGAGAAGATTGCACTGTGGATAAGAAGCGGTGGGCCAGCATCTACGATTGGAATGTCCAGAAGGAAACGGTCGGGTGTAGCTCGATCCTTCACTTGTGACCATATGGCATCATCATTATCACACGCCTCAGAGCTCAGTGGGGTAGAGCTTTCCATTTCCAGTTCCTCTCGAACTATAATCAAAGCCAATTGACGCTTCATGGCTTTTAGCATTTGTGAATACTCCACAAAGGTTGCAGGCTTGAGTTCTTGTGCAGACAGTGAATGTGTCAGATCGTTGGCCTTGTCACTTACAGTGTTCTCCTCGCTAGCATCTGTCCCAGCCGACACATCTTCGCGTACGTTTGCTTCCAAATTTATTGATTGTCGCGATGGAGAAGCTGACAGGGCCTTTGTTTCTGCCTCTAGAGCAACATTTGTATCAGGAGCAGACTGTTGGACTTCTTCTCCTTCCACGCTACGATCGGTTGCCTCTCCATCAACTCCAGCTGTATCATTATTCCCTACGTTTCCTGAGCCGACCGGATTTAAGCGATCACGCGAAGGAGATGGCGAAACAAAACCGCCACTTCCGGGTCTACTGGTTTGACTTTCAAGCACCGTACTCATCGACTCGTAGCTGTCTTCATCGAATCCCAGTACGATGATCCGCGCAGTTACAAACGCCCTCGAGCAGCATTTAAGCGTTTCTTCAACGCTTAGAAATGAATTTTCAAAACCGTCCAAAACGCTGCCGCTTTTGAGATCTGGTTGTGCCAGTCTCCACAAAACAATCTGGTTTAATAAATGAGCGAGTCTGTCAGCGATGGATTCTACCTCTCGTGTGCTATCTTCGACTGATTCTGGAACTTCTGAGGGCAAAATTTCACTTTCGCCTTTGTTGTTCACAAGCGCTTTACGTGCGGCTGTCGCTAGCGGCCCCTTTGCGGCGCATATCGAGTTAATTGCGCCATCAATCGTCCAGATAGCCAACGATTCCTTCTCTGCAAGAAGACGCGCCTGTGTTGACTTCCCGCATCGTGGTGGGCCTACCATTATGTAGTCAATACCTTTTCTTGGTGCAGGATTAAAATCTGCAATACTCTTCAAGGTCATATCCCTTTGTTCTTTGGACCCAATGCCCTCGTTCTCTGCCAAGTGTGAAGAAGAATCAGTGGGATTGTGTAGCTCACTAGGTTGGCCAGTACCACCTGTCGACACAACGTCTGACGAACTCATCGGGGCCAACCCATTTTCCGCCAAGTATTCATCAATAGGTTGCCCTGGAACACGAACCGACAATTGGAGCATATCCTCCGCGTTGAAAGCATTCAGAGACCGGAATTGTTCTTCATCCTGTTGATACATCGAGTCAAAGTCCAGAGAAAACACCTCAATTGGGTAGTCCGAGTCATTGCGTATCTCTACTAGTTGTTCTTCCGGTGGAGCACAAGGGAGCACAGGACCCAACTCAATAAGAGGCGGAGAGAAAGAGATACGTAATTCTGACCCTTCTCCACGACAAGCAATGGATCGTGTCTTTGGATTCGAGCTGATCTTGATCGGGAGCTTGAGCATGAACTGGCGTCCACTATCCGGAATAAACTCGATCTGAATATTTGCTTTGGCCCCCGGTGTTAGTAGTCCAGACTGCGGACTAAAGCGGAAATTCCCCACATCCTTCGTAGATCCCATCGGCTTCTTGAACGCCCACTCTGCAGGCACGGCCGAGATATTCTGCAACTGAGTAAACATGGTGTGGCACGTACTCACCGCGATCTTGCCAAAGTCAAGACTTTCAGTCGAGATCGAGATATCTGGCACCGTCACAAGAGCTCGAACCATCGCAATACAAGGAGGTCCGTTCTTGATCACAATGGGCAACTGAGTCATGTGGAGGCCCATCCCAACGTTTTTGCGAGCGTGAAAAGTGACACTAAACTCAACGGACTCTTTTTCGGGCAATCGCACTACTCTCTCGGGCTCAATCTGGAAACCTCTGGAGCTTGCCAAATTCTTGTCAAGTTGGAACGAAGCAGGGCCGTGACCGATGTTAGTAACACTAAACCGTTTGATCTTATGCGTTCCCACGACAACATTCCCAAAGTCTAACACGAATTGGGACATTACAAATGGAAACACTTCTGTTCCGCGTCTCTTCTTGGCACCTGACGTAGACGAAGGTGGTCGAAATGGTTTAGTAGCAGCCTTGGTGCTCCCTGGGTCTTTTTCAGTTGGGTGGTCGTTATGTGCTTCGATTGTCTTCAATGCCCTTGCCTCGGCTTTTATTGCTTCTTGTACGAGGAGATAGTCAGCAAAAAATAAGCGGCAAGCTTCAATTTCGATGTCCAACTCGTCCACGGCTGATGTCGCCACACCGCGACCCGGAGAGCCAAGAGCTCCAATGCGTTGACTTGCTCCCTTTGCCTGGGGTGATGCTGGCAATAATACTGCAGAGCTGAGCTTCTCAATTTCTCGACCTGCGGTTGACACAGTCGACTTGGAGTCTAGCACAGCCATTGCGGTATTACTACTCAGCAGACGCTGACTGTTCCTCGGATCTGCAACTGCCGAGCTTTGCATCCCAAGCTCAATACTCTGTTTCGCGCGCTTCTTTAACTCCTTCCACTTCGGTTCTTCGCCACGAACAGCGCTAGATGAATGGGGTTCGCGTGGTAAATTCAGTGACACTGCGGCAAACGTTCCACTACCAAACAATTTGAACGGAATTGGCTCGAAATGCGCGATCTCAAGCACCATAGTCTCTTCGAAATACTCAGGGATGCCAGGGCGTAAGCGAGCCAGAATTTTTTGCTTCTCGTTGGGGGCAATCCTCCCACTGATAGGCGAGATCTCCAAAGCTCTTCCACAAGCAACGCTATCGACCACAATGTTGAAAGAGAAAGGCACTTTACCAACGTTCAGAATGTAAAAGTCGCGATCTTCCGTCTTGTTGTATAGTACTTGGCCAAAGTCCAGCGATTGTTTGTCCAGCTTGTACACAAGAGACGATGCTTCGCCCAAAAGAGTTAGCTCGTACTCAGGACCACCTCCCACTTCACAGGCCACAGTACTCTTAAACTTTCGGTTTGCATGCCCGTAGTAAACAAAATCGATCTTCTCGCTCTCATTTGGTTTCAGAGTCCCGCGGATCGGCAGGATGTCGAACACTTGATTGATAGGAATGTATGGTTTCTTGGCAGTAGCGCTAGACAAAGCCTCCTTCTCGTCTTCTATGAAAACCCAGCGAAAACTCGTGTCCACTATTGGAGACGTTGGTCACGTTCATAATGATGGACTTTTGCGTACCATTCAGTGTGCAGCCAAAGTCGATTTTGGTCATCCCGAAGGAAAGATTGGGGAAGCTTATGTCTCCTATCAGCTCCACACTGTCTTTCTGGGGATGCCCCGTGTAGGAAACAAGTACCTTTCCATTTATGACCCGACAAGTGTGGTCATCCTTGAATCCTGGATAAAACTCCACGTGTAGAGCTACCTTTTCACCTGGTTGTAGCACTGCCTCCCAGCAATCGAGAGCAAACGGAGTCTGCGTGCGGAGCGTGAAAGATAACGGGAGCTCGCAGGCATTCGTGAAACTCAGAGGCTGCGACTGCGTTATGATTTGTTTTCCAGGGTGGTGAATATACTCGAACGACAGCAACGACGAAGACGGGGTGAGTTTTGGATCAATGAAGTTAGCGCGGATCGCAGTTACGAACGCAACTCTGCTGACTTTTTCCCTCCCCACCCGCGTCTCGCATACCAGTTCTTCTTGTATGAGTCCAGCTGTCGAAGAAAGTCCCTTGAATACAAAGATACACGCTGTGCGTGGCTTCAACTCGATCGTCCCTGGGAAGACAGAAAAGGCAGGGATCACTTCGTCTGGCCCATCAGGTGCGCCATTCATTCCATTGCGGTTGTTATTGCCCGTTTTGCTTGGCTTTGTAGTCGATCGATTATCCTGTCCTGCTCTTGACTTTGACGTCCCCCGGTCTGTCGGGTTGAGTTTACTGTTGGCAACAGCGACGATTTTGTTGGTCCAAGTGAGCACCTGTACACGCTTCCCCTTGTTTTCAAGAGTACAGCTCCACTCACACTCCTTGCTAGTCATTTGGTGACTGAAATCGATAACTCGAAGTTCACTCGGCGACCACATGGTTGTTCCCGTTCCTCTGATCCATAAGGGAACGACGAGATTGTCCCCTTCTGTGATCAAAATGTGTAGTTGGTCCTTGAACACCATAGTATCATCCAGGTTGGCCACGAGCACAAAATCAAGACTTTCGCCAGCCATCAGCACACCTTCTTTCTGGTCAATCTGGAACTTCGAACGAGCGCCGCGAACAAATGTTTTGTACGCTGCCGCGATCAACGAGACATTGGTCATGCGCAGGGTCCGTTCATGATCCACGAGACACGAACAGTTTCCCCAGTTTATCTCGGGTTGGTCCAATTCAACCTTTGGACCAGAGCCAGTAGCGCTAAGGGTCACAGACAAGGGGAGATCAGTGCTACCTAGGACAGTTATCACCATTGGAAGGCGGATACTGCCAAGCTTTTCACAAGATAACGAGATCTCCACAGACACGCGCTCGCCTGGACTTACACTGCCGGTGAACTCACTTGTGCTATATGTGGCGATGGCACGAGAGTGATCATCCTGCTCACCGATTTCAAAGCGTCCAAACAAGTGCGTTGACTTGTTCTCCAAGACGAGCATCTGCTTATGCGGGTATCGAAGAAAGCATCGACCGAAATCTAGCTCCTGTTTAAGGACGGCTATCTCAGGGACAAAGCACTGAGCGCGCAGGGGAATACTCAGCAAATCAGCTCCGACACCAGGGACACCAACAACAAGCTCGTACTGGTAAACTTTGACGTTGTGGGACGTAAATCGGATCGAGATCTGCTGCTCTCCGTACGGGTCTAGCTTTCCATCTGACGGGATTAGCTCGAGCTCCTTTTGCTTGTAGTTGGCCTCTTCCGGGACGCGCAGAAAATATTTCATTGCGATCTTAGAAGCGTTGACAAGCTTGACGGTTCGGGTCTGTGGGAAGGAATAGGAGATCGCTCCAAAGTCCACTTGGTCCACATCGAAGTGGAATACTGGGGGGATCACGTTCGCTTTAAAACGCGCTGCTAATTGCTCATCGGAGCCCTGCATGCCGAAGCAAATGTGGTAGAAGGCTTCTCCCAGCTCTTGAGAGCAGAAAGTCACCTCAATCTTGAGCATCTCATTGACCGCCAGAGTCCCGTATCTAGGATGAACTGTTAACAAAGTACCTGGAGGCGTCGTCAACGGGATCAGCTCGAATTCTGCTGGAATTTCGCCCTTATTTTGAATGGTAAAGCCTCGCGTACGCTCGTCATTGATGAACACATCGCCGAAGTCCAAAAGCTCATTGTACACCACTTTGGCCTTGGGACCAATCCCCTGACCTCGCAGTTGTAGCGGGAGACGTGCTGTTTGCCCCGCGATCTCGAGAAATGCTCGACAAGAATACAAATGTGCTTCTTCAGGAGTGAAGCACACCACAACGTCCACCTCGGAATGAGCCCAGACTCTCCCACTCAGTGGCGTTATCGAAAAGCACGCGTCTACGAACTGCATTGAGTCGTCTAGAGTCGCCTTACGTAAATGTCTGTACTTGGTGTCCTGCGTCTTTCGCACGTCAAACGGCGAATCCGTGAGCCCCGAGTTGACATCCTCGATTTCCTGGAGTTGCAGCTGCAGCTGTTCGTGCTCTGCCGTCTCCATCCGAGACAGTTCTGCTAGAAGTCGGGTGCGTTCTCCCTCCTCCCCAATAGTATCTGCAAAGGATTTCCACGAAAAGTCAAGCGTGAACTCAGACTCGTTGCAGATCTTGACTGTTTTGCGAAATGCAAGCGATAGATACGTAGCGCTGGGCTCCACCAAGGGCTGGCCCAAGAAGACGTCCACGTTTACCACGCGACCTACTAGCTGGACGACTGCTATTTGGCCGCTGTCATCCTTAACCTCCAGTTCACCTTTGTTGAAGTAACCATCTCCGATGTGATACTGACTATCTAGGGGAATATAATTGTGCTATATCATATAGAGATTTCTTATATAACTGGACTGGTTGGTGGAGGATAACTCCCCTCCAGGACACCAGACTATCTAAATCACCACTTCCTCTTTTACGAACTCTACCACACAAGCGTCTTCTCCTTCTACATTCAAGACTTCCTCTTCACTATGGCCGCCTAATCCTCTCTACTTTTGTCCTCATTCAGTTCTGTACTGCCCTAACAACTCTGCGCAAATCATTCCTTCAACAGGTTATCAGCCCAACGCTTCGCCAGGGTACTGACGAGCTGAAAGCGGTAAGACGATGCGCCTCCAAGCCCCAAGGCTCATGAAGGAGATCGGAGAGAAAATCGCCCGACGGACACCAACTCGCGTGAGGCCACGTTGCCAGCTTGGCTCCAGCCACTGTGCTGTAGCACAGCATGCGTAGTTATTCGCCATGCTGGGAGGTCATGAAACCCCCGCGCCAGCCATGGAGCTGTAGCGCCGCACGAGACACATACATTCCGTGCCACACCGGCCATTGCCGAGTTGTGAGGCCATGATGCCAGACCAGCCATAGCGCTGTACTATTGCTGCTGGTTGAAAAGCCGAACTAGAAGGCCACAGTGCCTTGTGCTCTACGTACATGTACGCGTACACGTACACGTACACATACACGTACATGCATTTGATGATGTACAAGTACATGTAGTACATATTTAAGGCGAAGAACTAAATACCGCCCTCACGCACCAGCAGCATTGCTGTAGTGTCACGCCATACTGGGAGGCCAAATGCCCCACTTGCGAGCTATAAAGCTGTGCTTAAAATATTCCAGCTACAAGCTGTGTATTTACTACTAGTATATGTGTACTTAATGAGATACCATTTTAAATATGTACATCTCGAGCTACAAGGCCGAATGGCACAGCTAAAACCTCGCTTAATGCAAAGCTGCAGCAGTCTACTAAATGCAGATCTACGGCTTGTTGAGAACAGGTAATCCACTACATTTTGGACCTGTAAAATAAAAATATACCTTAAAAAAACAAGAAAGAGATAAAATGAAAATGGGCAATTGTCCATACAAACATGTGTCTGGTATTTAACCAAGTTAAGAAATACGCGAGGCAACAACGCCGAAACAATTCATTCAATTCACCAAACTTAAAAAATTTATTGCGGCAAAAGTTTCAAACATTTCCAGCATAAAGAAAAAATCTTCAATACTTTATGACTTTAAGACAAGCCTACACAAGCCTCTGTCTACAGAAAGCAACTATAGTTTTACTGCATTAGTTTCATTTTCAATGGAATCGATAGTTTACAAACCTATTGCTTGCACTTGCGAAGTATAAACAAAATAAAAATCTTCGAAATGAGAAACAACTCCATGAGCCTCTAGGGAGAAAAATAGCCCCAACGATGAGAGCCTGCAAACAAGATGCGTACATGTACACTACCAATGACACTGTTAGATGTTTTTATGCTTGAAAGCTGA